CATGAAAACTAATTCCGACACAACTTGAATTGGACACACACAGATCGTTCAAAGCTTTGTACAAAAATTGAAATTTGCTTAATTAAAAGCCTAATGGCTGTTAATTAAAACGTAATTAAGTAGTGTTCAATATTTGTTAGTGTTCTAATTCAAAGCCGTGTTGTATCCCAATACAGCTCACACAGCAAACGGAATTCGAACACGTGGATGTCGGCAATACGAATCAGTTACATTTGAAGCGCTGACGCAATACGACTCACCACGTGTCGGATGTTGCCACACAAAATGACGGAATATAGGGATTTGGTAGGTTTCCATTCTAAAGGCTTTTTAATAAATATGGCAACATTTTGTGACGTTTCATCGTTGCTGACGCGTAGTGAAGTGTTTTGAGAGTCATGTGAAGGCAACAGAACTTACGTAACGCATACCGTTTTTTTTATAGTTTTTCATTTCTCGATGCATCCTTAAAGTGTCGGAATATACCGCGTTTACCCTACTTAAGAAATTGGTTTAAATCTTGAGTAAATGAGGAAATTAAAAATGAACTGATTCTAAAAAAAGCTCTGGTTTGCCACTATGCTTATCACTGTATGCCCAGCTCTGCCAGCTGTTGTTGTATATTGCCCCATAGCCCCCATTTAATTTGACTATAGGTATTCTGGTATAAATGTTGGCAGATTGTCAAAAGGCTAATTTCTTTATGCCCTAAGAGTCTAAGACTGTAAGCCACTGTGCAAAGAGTGGATGAATATTGCAAGATCTTTGGCGACGCTTCAGTAGCCAAATTTTTGCCTTCAGAAGATCTTGCCGACACATTTAGATTGAAATTCTTGCATTTAATATATTTCTCAGTCTTCGGCCAACTATTTAGAAAAAAAAGCAAGGTTTCCGGTACGTTGGATGGATTACGATGCAACAAAGCTTGTCCGGAAATCAGTTGCGATGAGTTCCCGCAAAAAATGTAAACAACGTTTTTACGATTGCGTAGTTTTGGTCACATTAGAGCGGTCAGACTGCTTTATTACATGTTCAGCTGACACTTGCTGTACAATCGGACTGTTTTTAGGGTAAAATTAGTTATTTGGGGTAACACGTGTATGCAACCTTCTAAATAAGTTCGTGGCTTGTAAATAGTTCGTCATTACTCAGCGTAAATGGCTTTTCATTAAAAAATTACCCGGCGACGCATCTTTAAAATGGCCGGCGACGCTTTGGGCTTAAAAATCCATATATTGGCGATGCTGCATCCACCCTCTGCATAGTGGACTGTAAGATGGGCTAAATGCCATTCATTCTCGTGTTTCTTGATATATTATTTTAGCTGATTTTTGTTAAGTATCTCAATATTTACTAATTTGTGTTTTGAGATGTATTCATTCATATTTCATGGTTGTATTTACAAAATTGCAGGTCCATTTGATGATTGATTGTTAATTCTTGTTTGTTGTTTGAAACTATTGTTTAGAGATCATGGTGCAAATTGAATCAAAGGTGAGAAATTTTTTTTATCATGATAGCCTCAGGAATATTGTTAATATTTTCTAGATTTGTTGTGCTTAGGGTAAACGCGGTATATTCCGACATCGTAGGTAATTCCGTCACCTCTCCAGCTTTTCCTTTGTATTAAGCTTTGTTTTAGTTCCATGCGTTCATTGATGGTTGAAATGGTGACATCATACATTTGTGTGTCGAAAAACCCACACTCAGGATGATGTATGTTTTTGGTGAATTTTCCCGCGCATTTTCACTTTTTTTAAGCTATTGCTGTGCACAGTTGGCGCAATGTAATGAAAATTGATTATCTTTGCGCATGTGTTCACGCAATCCCGGCCATCTTTATTTTAGAAGAAATTTTCTCCAAAGTCATATGGCAACACTGAACACCGTCTGTTTACATTTCGTATGTATAACAGCCAGGGTTGGCGATTTTTTTTATTTTTTTTTAAATCAAAAAAATCAAAAATCAATGATTTTTTTATTTTTTCAGGATTTTTTTTATTTATTTGATTTTTTTGATTTTTTCAGCTTTTTTGTATTTTTGAGGTGTTATTTTTTATGTTGCAATTAGCCTACTAACAATAACAGTATATGGATCATAATGGATGGCTAAAAAGGGCACTTATTGCCTTCAATAATGGCCAACAGGCCAAGGT